GTCTGGCACTGGTCGATGGAAACCGTACGAAATACCTCGTTAAGCCATACCCATAAATGGATGGGGACGGAACACCGTTATCCGGCAAAACATCAGATCTTTCGAGCACATGTTGTTCTGCCGCGGTACTTAACCACAGTGCCGTAACGAGCTATTTTTTATCCTGAAGCAATGTACTCCCCCCCCTCCAGGTTGTAGGGATGTCACACTCACAGTTTTTAATATGTACAATACGATTAGGAAAAATCTAAAGAATTGAAATTAGGTTTCTAGCAAAAAAAGAAATAACATTTTTTAAAAAAATAAGTATCTTAACCCTCCGTTGAGCACATATCCCGAGAAACATATTCGTGGCACATGAGTCTGACCAGACCCATAAACTTTTTTCTGTCTTTAAACGCATGTATTACATTTTTGTAACTTATTTATACACCATGTAAGAAATTATTTTAATTTTTTTTAATTTATTACATATTTTACGTTTCGAATTATTTGTATAAAGATAAAGAATTAAGAAAAAAATCGTGAAATGTGAAAATAATACTTAATTTTGTTTTTACATACTATATTTTATTTTGTTTCTTTAACACAACTAAAACTTATATATTCTACTTTTGAGTGTTGTTGGCATACTGCACTTAAACATTTTGTACAAAAGAAACGAGTTTTTCGCGGCATTTTTTCATTTCCTTGAGAACAAATTTTACAATATTTTTTTTTATCGAATGTATCAGCTCCGCTAACGCTAGTTACTATTTCTGATGTGGTCTGATACAAAAGAAGAAACGAAAACAGAAAAAATGAGACAAGAAGCTAAACGGAAAATATAAATGTAATTGAATATGAATACTTACATTCATTGGTCTTCCAAAAAACGATTCAAAAGCCGAACGAGAACTAAACTGTTTGTTGATGTGAACATTTTGCATTCTTTGTTCAATATTTGGAAGAGCCAAAGTGTTAGATAACATCCATAAAAAATTCCGTCTTGCATCAGATTTTTTGGTGCCATCAATTTCTTTGCAAATACAAAATGCAACCAATGCCATAACATCTAACATGTTACAAAAAAATGCAAAAGTCCATCTTTTTGTGGCTCGTTTTGATGTAAAATGAGTAACCATTTGGTCCATGCAATCGACGCCTCCTTTATTTTTGTTATAAAATAAAATTGCTTCGGGTTTTTTGGCTTCACCTTCACAATATTTTGTATAGTGTACGGTAGAAAGCAAATTTACACATTTATTTTTTTTTGGCACGTAGCTGAAAATTGAAACCAAATTATCATTAAATCCAAAACGAGATGACAAAACTGGACGTGAAGGATGTTTTCTCATTTCTTCAGGGATACATCTTTTGTTAGACCTAATGGTACCAACGAATGCAAGACCGATTTTGGTTAGTCGCTTTGCGCCTTCTAATGTTGTAAAAGAATTATCTGCGATAATTGTACGGCCGCTGTTACTATATGATTTTGCGAGTTGTAGCATGACATTCTCACCTTGATTCGTTTCACGTTCATTTCCTTCTTGCCGACCTGTATATAGTTTTCCTTGTAATGAATATTTTGTTTTCGAATCACAGGCCCACCAAATTTTTATACCATATTTGGCTGGTTTTGATGGTATATATTGAGTAAATTTGGTTTTACCACGATATGGAAAGAGCTGTTCATCAATAGTTATATTTTCATATGGACTATAGTTTTTTGCTAGATTTTCATTCATATAATTCCAAATATCACGAATAGGTGCGGCCTTATCACTTTGCAAACGGAATGGACGTGTGCGTCCATTATCAAACCTAATGTATCTTGTCAATAAAAGGAAACGTTTATGAGACATAGCTGCTCTGAATATCGGTAGGCCATCTGTACGCCACAAAACTTCTGATTTTTGTGTGTTATTATGTGAAACACCAGCTGCCAAAAGTATTCCAATAAACGCGTCTAATTCACTCTCAGTGACATCCTTCCAAACTTTTTTTTTTTCGACCCGTATTAGACGCATTCCATTTTTGTATTGAATCTTTTCCATAACGATTCGTTTCAGTGATGATAAGGAATGCAATATCAGGAGTAAAAAACTTTTTGAATACCTCAATTGGGACAGAATTTCGTTCCTTAGGTCCACTTCTAAAACGCATAACATTGTGTTGACGAATGCGAACACCAGTGTTTGGTTCATTTTTTTCCCATTTTGTACCGTCTTTACCATAGAAACACTCTTCAGAAGTACTCGTACATAAGTTTTGAGTTTCAGACTCCGTAAATTCTTCATGACTGTCAACTAAATCATTTGGTTCGATAATCACTTCATTCTCAATATCTGATGCATCATCTTCGTTTGGTACATAATCAACATCACAATCGTCATCGTCGGCAGGAAATAATTCGATTTCGTCAATTTCTTCGCTCTCTTCAACATTTCTTTCACGTTCAATATCATTCACCAAAGCTGTTGCTAATCTTTCATAAAATGCTGTATCAATATTACCGTCGCGTGATCGCGTATTATAAATAAATTCCACTTCATTTTCAAAGTTCATTTTGAACAAAAAAATCAAATTTTTAGAAGTATATAACTAAAAAAAAATTAATTTACCACAAAATATACTCAGTAAACAATTACGCGTCGTGTTTTTTGTTCACATGAATGCACTATACTGATTCTAATGATAAAAACAACGATAAAATGTGTATAAATATACTATTTGTCATGTATAATATAAACGAGTCTGGCTAGACTCATGTGGCACGAATATGATATGTATACCATAATATTCTTATAACTATCTATACATTGGGTTTTTCCAATATTTTTTTTCATAGAGTAATAGTAAATAACACTGTAGGAGGGTACACAAAATTTTAAGTCGCTATCTTATTTAAAAATATAATTCAACTGTAATTAAAATCAGAAAAGGTCTAGCCAGACTCATGTGCCCAACGGAGGGTTAATATTTTTGTGCCAGAGGCAAGTTTCTCGCTCGCCTCACTCTAGTTATGGCTCTGCACGATCGTCAATATTTATAGATCTCACTCGAAAAAAAAGTGCAAGCAGTCCCCGAAAAATTCACCGTTTTTCTAACCTCTCATTTTTTATCCGCATCGTTCCGGCCCGTGTCTATCGTTTCATAACGTCTCACGTACAAATTGTTTTATTTTCCATTATTCGTCGGGGAAACGATCGATGTACACCGCAGACACGAAATATTTTACTGGCACAGGGCTGTGTAAGTGTACCTACGGCTGGTTTCACAACACACACACACACATACCCACGCGTATACGTGGATAAATGCACATACATGTACGTGACCGAGGACACAGCAAAAGGAGCTGTCGTTCGCGATAGCGTTAAAGGACTCGTCGCGTAATGCCTTCGGACACATAAACGCACGAGCGGAATCGTCATGGTTCGTTACGGTGGCAGCATCGGCAATGTGTGCCACGGGCGTAATAATATTACGTTTACCAGGTGATACGCCAACACTTAAACTAACTAATTGCCATATGCCTTGGAGATGATTTTTTTCGTTTTTCAAACCAACATGAACGGCTAAATTTTACCCGTACGACACGTACGAATTCGTTAAAAGTTTCAATGCAACATTAAAAACATAAAGTAAATCATTTTTTTACGCGATTCATGGTTACACGAGTATGTTGAAAGCTATCTACTCCGTTCCGTATACTTTAGTATTTTACATTTTTAGTTTTTTTTTTATTATTTACAGAAAAAATATTATTTAAACTAATTGATGCTTGTTTAACGAACAAATATTGATTGCCGAATTAATTTCTCCTCGAATTCCCGCATTAAATATGTGCATCAACCGACATCAATGAAAATGTTCAAGCATTTATTCGATAAGCTTGTGTTTATGAATGTTTGTGAAAATAATTATTTTTTCGGTCCGATTTAAAATAAACAACATTCATCCATCAACCATCGTTATACATCATAAGTTTCTCATTAAAATTTCCGATTCATCAAAATATGTATAGTCATAACCAAACAGAAAAACGAAGCCTATTATTTTATGAAAGAAAACTCGTCGATTATTATTATTTTTAATGATTTAAAAAATTTTTTCATCCCGAGTCCTTTGAACTGGTATTTATTAACGATACCTTAGCCATTACTAGGAGTACTACATTTTGTTATTTTTCCAAGCACGTAAATACACAAAATATTCAATTGGAAATTTTTGAATTCCAAAATGTGATTTTATTCAAACAACAATTATAATAATAAAACAATGCATTTTAGTCGAATTTTACGTTTCTTTTGTAAACCGTTAGTTTGTATTTAAAGCATTATCTCTATTCTGCGTTCGTCTAATAATAACGCTGCTTGTACAAAATCTTTATTTTCGTAAATTTATTTATAATGAGCGCGGATGCGGCTACAATAATAAATATCGTTATGATAATTACCCGATGGGAGTGCAAATGTTCCACCACCACGGTTATACGAGTAGCAGAACGAGTCAATTAATGATAAGTAGCCATTTATATACATACATTACTACGATATGAACGATTGAAGTATCCACTCGACTATAACAGGTCGTATGTCAACAGTGGAAAACACTTTAATTGCATATTTTTAGGTGCTTGGTGTTTGGTCATGAAAGAAAAATTAAGAGCAAAAAAAAAAAATGAATTACCTCGATTAAATATTAAACAAACTTTACAAAACAAAACTCGTTTATTTTTTAGAAACAAATAATTAAAAAAAATAGCTCGTTTAATTCTGGCGGAAATAAAAAAGAAAAATATAAAGTTTAAATTAACTCCGTTTTAAAAGCTCTAGATTATTGAATCGTGTACGAATCATACTCAGTAGTATACACAGATATATCGTGGCCCACACGATTCGGCGTGTAGCTTTCGAGTTCACGATGACCTATTGTAATGCAGATAATTTTCGAGATTCGCGACCACATGATGTGGTTATACATCTGATATATTATGCGCAGGTGCGTGTACTTACGTTGCACATGGACATTTTTCCGTCGCCGTCGCGCCGTCGTGTAGTTTCGCCGGCCGATGACAGCGGCGCCGTGGTCTGTCCTTGTTTGTACAGCTGCCATCCCTTGATGTAAAGATCGCCGGCGAATACGATCCGACCACCACCGGGCACCGAGTGTCTGCGCCTCGTCGACTGCCACCTACACATGCCATTCGTGATAATTTTATTATAATATTGGATGACCTTCGATGGTGACATACGATTACAGGAAATATTGAACGAGTCCCATAAACGCGTGTCAGGCACATACACTCACATACACGCACACACGTCCGTATGAAGTTGAAAGGGATAATGGACCATTAAATTGTCCATTTCACGGGTACACAGATATAACTGCAGTGGTAAAAGTTGCCTGATGCAACACGTTATAGTCATAAGCTTAATCGAGACCAAAGACAAATCATTTTAACGACACAATTTACTATCAGAATTGTTTTATAAAACTTCGGGACTATGTATATTATGCTTCGGATGGGAGGTTTGTTCACAGTGTTCGAAAATTCGTGGAGTTACCCGATCATTTTTCTAAAACTCTAAAATCTATAAGCTGCCTTGGATTCATTGATTATCCTTTCATCGCTATTAAAATTATCATCGTATATTATTCGACGCATTAGTATTATCGAACGATAGTGAAAGAAATTCAAGAAATTGATGTACCCCAGCTTATTTTTTTTAATAGTCTCGTATTAAAATCGGAATGAAACGTTTTTGAATGACTGGTTACCCAATATGTTTAATTGGCTGAATTCTTATAAATGTTTAAATTTGATACAAGCCCATAGTTTTTGAGTTTAAGTCTATATATCTATCTCAAAAAAATAAAAACCTCTATTGTGTAAAAATGTTTTGAACACTCAGTAATAAGAAACGAAAGACAATTAGTCTAGTCAATATGTTTGATGTAAGCAAAGTGGGCACTAGTCAGCTAATGAGTAATAATCTAATATGTATCGAGATATAATTCCCGATAAGTTGATATTCTCTCCGCCGGATATGCGTGCCAGTAAAAAATGAGCCATTGCAAAAAAAAAAAAAAAATCGAAATTTACGACACGTCTCATGGGAGTCGTCCCATGGACTAATCTATATTTTAGTGACACTACTTGCTTACGATACGACTGTTATGTAATTGTTATCTACGTACTCATATTCCATTTAATATTGATGGGTTAAAAATTATAGGAAACAATACACCCATTTATAGTAATATTTCATAGTTCATAAATTCTATTTCTATTGATATTCGCAATAATATAATAAAGTATTATATAATCATCGCACTATTTTGTCCCATCGTACAGGTATAGTAAGTTCATATTCGTTAGTGTAAAACGATATTAACCGTCCTTGTATTTTTATCGTTTAAAGTTTCGCTTTAAAGGGAATACTATAAAATATCGGATTTTATCTACAAATAAAATGCCGTATTAGAAAAAAAAAAAAATCACCGGAGATTTTGGAAATCAATAATCATTGCACACCGTTGATAATTGTTTTTGATTGTTTCGTAAATTATTATTGTCTTCGTTAATATTAATCGTTTGAATATCACTCGTCATACTATCATAGAAATGTCGATTCAATTTTACACTTGACCACATCGTTCGTAATATTTGAAGAAGTGCACTAAAGTATAACGTGAATTTTTACATTCATTCATTTTCAATTGAATTTGAAACGTTTGGCGCAAAAAATATTCGCGTAAAATTTTATAGTTTTAAGAAATAAACAAACATCTGTTTTTTTATTCGTTTTTAGAAATTTCTGCTCAAAGCTCTATTAAAATATCACGAAAAGTTAATTATTTACCTAATTTATATTCATAAAAAAAAAAAAAATCTTGGACGGTAAAATAGAACAGATCTTTTGATGTTAAACTCGAGATAAGTATAATCAAATTTAATTATACAGGAAATCTCAAGAGGAAAGTATAAAAAATATTCCAAATTTAAATACCTTTTCTACAAAAACGATCGATTGTGGATGTATGATTAGACATTTTACTTCCGATAATTTTTTTTTTCTTCTTATTTTTTGCGTACAGATAATAATATAAAATAATGCTATTACGTATTGTTAATTTATTGCATATTTTCATACTATATAAGGGGCACGGTCCATCATGTTTGTATAAATTATTAAAAACCAACCGTGAATTTTTGTTTCTATTTGAGGTTGTGTTTATCTGTTACCGGCATGTGTCATGTAAATACAATTAAAAAATAAGTTTAATATTTTTTTGATGGTCATATACGATTTTAAGATTCAGGATTTCACACGTTCTCATAATCATAAAATATTCTCTATCACATATTATATAAACGATTTTTTTGTTTACCAATTTTTTCATACGAAACCCGTAGGACCATGTATATGTTGATAATATTTTTTATAAACACAATAATTATTATTCTATGTTATGTTCACAACGTTCAACTTTGTTCATAAAAATGATTCTTACCATGTAATTAGTCTGTAAACTCTGGATTTCTGTCCTCGATCTCTTAGTACTCTGGCCAGACCCAAAACTGACTCCCTGTGTTCCATATTAACAGCCATAGCTCTTCTGTAATAAATTAGTGCCTCGGCCACGCGACCTGTAAAATAGTAATAATTAATTGTTGAGTCAAACGCTAAGATGTACAGTGTGCTACCACGTGCACAATATATTTTGCCCATATTAATATATACTCGTATATTTTGCCCATGATATTTCATGTGATTAACTGACATTTACCATGTGCTTGCTCATCGAGTTTTTTTTTTTTCATAAAATTAATTATTTAACTAGGACAATGTGTTTAGTCGAATCGATATTCAATTCTAATAGGTAGTTCCCGTTGAATAAATGTCCGGCTTGGAACATTACCACGGTATATTTGGTTGGTCGGAAGACTACCTGATCGTAAATCAATCGAGAAAATGATAGGCTATTCCCTAATGCACGAACAAAAAAGCTAACTCCGTAAAAGTGGCCTCTTTTTATTAATTTACTATAAGTGCTCCCTCTCCCCCTCTTCCAATATCCCCACCATAGTAATTTTTTTATTATGATTATTATTTTTTTATTTTATATATAAAAAATGGCCCTCATATAATATACATTATATAATAAGACTTCATTACAATATTGGCTTTATTTTACATTAGATTACGTAAAAGGCTTTTGTACATAAAACCGAAGGCTCTTCGGCAAAATAATCCCATTGTTGGATTACAACGGGACGAGTGAGAAAAAAAAGTAAAACGTATCATCCTTTGCAATAGGATTTTTCCCGAGCACGTTTTATATTCAAAAAGCCAATAGGCAGTATCTTACGGTGATGGTAGTATGTTTTTGACATCACACCCAATTAAAGATAATCGGTTTACATATTCGTGACAATTCCCTGTTGAGAAACAATACAGTACACGCTCAATTAGAACGTAAATTTTGTATAACTATGAAACTGCGTTACTTTTTCTTAATAGAAATAATGGCTTTTTTTTAAGTTTATACATTCATAATGATTGCTTAACTCGTGTGTGTGTGTGTGTGTGTGTGTGTGTGTGTGCGTATATGAGTGTATGATTTGAATTAAGACAATAATATCATCGGAATAAAATATATTCTAAATAATGAAATTATTTATATAGATATGCATTGTCTGTTAGTTTTTGTTAGAGGAATATGGTATATCTGACATTTATTGTTTTCCATTAATTTTTTCAATATATCTAATGTTCCATATTCAGAGTGAAGAGTATAGAATAATAATTTTATTACTTCAGATATACACCTAATACACTTCAGTAAACAACTAAATAAATAACTAATATTTTAAATAGGAAAAGTTGTTTTTCTTTTTCAGATATATGGAATATATAAATGTAAAATAATTTTTACATAAAAGAAAAATAGTAATCATTAGATGTAAATTAATTATTCGAGTTCTACATGGAATTATAAATACAAATTCGTTTAGGCTGTCTCAAAATTCTTCTTACTTGAGCTAATTATTTAACGAATAATTTATACACTTGTCTTATAGTAATTTTCTCAAGATTTTAAAAATAAATATTTGTAATAAAGTGATGTAACAATGATGATTATTTTACAAAATAAGTCTTAAAGTGGTTTCGACAAATTGCATATAAGTATAATGTGAAAAAATCAAATGCTTTTTCTTTAATTAAAAATCAAAAATTAGTTCCATTAAACAATACAATTTAATAAGAATAATATTCAATTATGGTTTAGGTGATAAATATAAGCGATAAAAATTAATTATTAGATAGGTAGGTACCTTTTATTATTTTAAAATTATTATTAAAATATTAAATTACGATCTCGAAAAATTATTGTATTGTCGATAGTTCAATGAGGTAGGTTCATATTGTATTGATGTTGGTCGGATTACTTACGGTTGTCACGAAGCCAACGGGCGTAGCGCGCTTGGTGTTCCGGGCTTTTGGGCTGATAGGTGGCCACGTGTTTCAGTAACCGTCCGGTCTGACTGCCCGTGTGCAACTTGGCCAAGAGCAAGTACGCCGCTGTGTACCCACTGTTCAGCATCAGACATCGCTCCAGCATGGCCACCGCGTCCTTAGTCCTGTTCATCAGCCTGCATCACACATAACACGTGGACGAGTTAGTCATAACTTACGTCACGATCGTTAACGACCAGCGGTCGGATGATAGTTGATACGTTACCAGGTGCACTGGTTATCAGGACGAGTAAATGATCGAATGGGTTGCGAGAAAATTTAAACAAAACTCTAACCTAACTCGACATAGGTCACGAAACGGATACCGAGAATGGATAATCCTACCCTGATGTTCACGAAAAAATAAGATTTTCGGGTGACGAGTTATACCTTCGTGTAATTTTTTTCTCGGTAGGTACTTTTTAGTAATTATTTATCATACACCTGTATATATACCCTATTATACACCATATCAATACTACACGATTTTTGGTCTTCCGATAGCGAAACTACCACAATAAAGGGTTCAGTTTTAACATCCGTAATAATATTCATAGACACATCGGTTTATCACTCCCGTGGTACAGTGCAGTGTTATGTTCTTAACACGATTACTCATTATTTAATAATTAAAACGATATATGCAAGATAAAAATAGGCCATATGAAATACGTGTTGGTACATGATTCGAACGACATACATTTAGTGGTAAAAAACCTATATTAGGTTCAGGTTTTGACTGTGTTAATATTTTCACGATAACTATTATTACATGTCTATAATGACGATGTGAACAAGTAGATTGATGAATGGGCAACAGGTTTTCGACCAAAGCTCTTTTAATACCATACGTTTACAACTTTGGTACTTTTAAACGGGACGTGATACCGTTTTCGAAATCGTAAAAATGTATTACGTTGCAGTTACCTGTACACCTGGCCAAGGTTATAATGGGCGTTAACGTGTCCCGGCGAGTATCGGATGGCGGCCAAGAAATGATGTTCCGCATCCTTGGATCTTTCCATCAACGTTCCCAAATTGTTGTGTGCACTGGCGTAAGACGGCCATAACCTACGGGCAAAAAAAAAAAAACGTTCAAATGAAAAAAACGATTATAATATCATAACATTCGGTTTTAAAAGTAATACTCGTATATTATCACATATATTGGAAACAAAATATTAACAAATAAATCAATTAGGTCCGAGTATATTTAAGGGTAAAAAACCGTTTGTGTTAAATTAACCTATTTTATATAAAATCTGAGTAAAAATTGGTACAAATTTTATATTTTTAATTAAACATAAAATGTAGGTTTTCAGTTGCGCGCTGCTGTTTATTTTTATCTGTATGATTGGTAAAATCAAAATTTTGAGTGGATGATAAATGAAAATTTACTGTCAAAACTGCGGTAGAGTACGTTTGAACGCATTTCACTAAACGAAACGAAAGGATAATTCGTATCCACGAAATCCATGTATTATATGAAATACACTCAAATAGGCTATCAAGGAATCTATTCATAGCACTATCCGAATGCGTCAACATATTTCAGGTTGAGGTATCGATTTTACCCAAACGGATTGCACTCTTTTTACGCGCCTTAAAATAGATTCAGCGAAATATTCTCCAGTTAAATTCGCTTATATGCATTATACTCGCATAACCGTAGTTTCCGGAAGTGGCAGGCTGGAACAGTCAGACCTTAGTGCACGGTCGACAGAATTCGTAGGGATCTGTAAGGTAGGAAAACCGGATATTGCATGCATGCCTACGTCGTAATCTTGTTTCGATTTTTTTCCGTCATGTGTGTAACCATTTCGCGGTTTCGGCTGTTCGGCAAAGATGAAAATATACCAACACAGCCGTAATGACGTCTGCAAAATTGATTCGGGTTCACCTCTAATATTGTGTTTCTCCGGTGACAATAAATCACGACGAAATTGTTTCCTACTCGTTGGTGCCGATGGTGGCAAACCGTTTACTGAGTACCGGTACAAATTGTGTACTACAAACTGAACCAGAAAAAGAAGAAATCCCCCTGGGATACCAATAAGTAGATACTATGTATCGATATTTAACCCTGCCATCAGTACTTGTATAGCGTGTGAAATGCAGTAGAATTACACATCCACGTATAAAGAGATTTTTCACGTTTTCCGAAATTAAATGTATGTAAAAATAGCTCGTAATGATTTGCGTCCATAAAATTGTTACTATAACTGTCGTAGTTATATGAATATTGTACGGATTACCACCGACAAAACCTTTTTTTAACGCTACAAAAATAGTCAGTACTATAAATTCGTACCGATCTCGACTGGAAACTTCAAACCCATCAAACAATAGTTCGTTAAAAGAAAAAAAACCGCAAACACAACGCGGTTATACGTACTATGATACATGATAAATCACAGCGGGTGATTTTCGTAACAAAGTACAATCGACTTCCATACGAACACGAGTCAACATTATATATACGTATAGTGCACAGAAGGATAGATTTGATTTAATGTTTGTGCTGTGTTATTTTTTTCCGCGACGCACAAATGATGAAGTTTTTCGTCAAGAACTTATTATAGTTATTATAAAAGTAACCTAGAGGAGGAAAATATTTTTAAATTTTTTTTTGAAACATTTTTGACTAGCTGAACTTAATGTGCGGCATGATAGGAGTGTACCTCAAGAAGGAAATAAATAAGAAAATAAAAATAAAAACACGTCGAAACAGTGTAGTGTATACAAATATTCACCACCATCACTGCAGTCGTGGTTGACAATGTCGTCGCCGTCGCGACAGCGAAGAAAATCGATTTGTCTCGCAAATGTTTATCCGAGAAGAGTGGAAGTAAGAGAAAGATAGATGAATATATATGTATATGTATAATACGAGAGAGAGAGAGAGAGAGAAAAAGAGAGAAACAGATAAAGTGGAGTGGGAAGAAACTCTAATGGAAAAAGTGTCATCGGTGGAATCCAATTTTGGACTCGTCACAACAATACCGCACACGCACAGTGTTTTTTTCGCAGTATGTTGACATAGTTGTTCCTCCCCGTCCGGTCGTTGGGATCGGGATGAAATGAAAGAAAACTCCTTTACACTTGTTTGCATACAACCCCGAAAGCGACGCGTGGGGTGCACGTATACGTATCTCATATCAATTCGCTTATAGGTTTTCATCTCTACACATACATAATATTATATAATATGACGTATGATATGTATGTATATTATTATTATAATGTTTACCGGAAGGAAGGGGGAAAATAAAATAAAATGAAATAAACAGTTTTGCACGCACTACACAATATGATTATGTTAAACGAAAAAAAAATCTCTTGTTCGACAGCGCAGCCTTTTCGCCTGCCACGTACAAAAACGCACACACGTACCGATAACTGAAGTGTCATTCGTCTTTTCACATTATCGACAGTGATGTCATTAGACAGTTGACATAAACGAGGGTATAATCCAATATAAGACACGTAACCCTGAGATACGTACACGTATGTACAACGCATATACACGTGCTTCACGAATCCGTGTGCACGCACCGAGCGAGTTCGGCTATTGGGGTGTTGGGTAGTGGTTAAAGGTCAGAGAAGGGGATGGTCTTCGGTGAACGAGACGATGGGAAAACGCTTACTTTCAACATTGACCTTCCTTGTGCAGAAAACAACCGTACAGCTTATTGCTTTGTAAATGCACGTGTTTCTACTTTCTAATACACACCCCTGAACATCGTTATTTATTTAACGTACTCCACTCACCCCCGGGGTGTCACCCGTAGTACAGGTGCGCACATACGTGCGCGCACAGTATCGTGTTACGTTATACACGCGTGGAAGCAGGTTAAATATACAATTTTTTGCGTTATTTTTTCGCCTCGACGAAGACCAAGAGAGTGATGGATGACGTATAATAATTTCAAAGGGCTAACTCTCGTATAACGGGTGGGTCGTTTCATTTTTTTTTCCGCGCTCCATGTTGACTGAGCACTTTTACACGATGAATGAATACAGTTTAATATAAGTGTCCACACCATTTGGGGTTTCTCAAGGTGTAAACGACCTCGTTTTTTATTCTACTTTTTTAAAATTGTTTTTTTTTTTCATATCAGAAAATTTAACATGCGAGTAACGTAGCTCGTCTGTGACGCTATATCCGACAGTTCAGTCTATACGTAGGTTTTACCTCTCGTTTATTTAATATAATGTACACGTTTTAACCGTTCCGAAAGCTACTATAAAACATTCATATTAAGTACCTATTTATAGACCTATACCACGCGCGATGGAAATCAAAACGTTCCTGGAAAATTACATTTATATCATTTCATCTACAGGGTTTATTGTTGGATAATGGAAAAGAGTATAAAAAACCTTGACGTTTTGTTTATTTATTTTTTTACCTTATTTCGCTCTTTCAAAAACGTTAAAATATATATGTACACAATAATATATTTAAATTGTATTCTCCCTCCCCTCCGATAATTTAATTACATGTATGTTTTTAGATTGGCTACGATAAAACAAAATATGTCATGAAAATATCATTCCGAGCGATCACGTTTATCAGAACACGGTTTTGTGCTAACGTTTTAATATTGGAACGAGAAAAAAAAAATACAAACGGTTTGATAATATTATTATATAATAATTAAATTTGCATATACACCCTATTTGCAAACATCCAACTGCGAGGATTTCTATTGTATGTATATCGAACACGACAAAAAAAAGGTCGTAAAAACGAAAACCATATATTATAACAGTAAATTATTCGTAAAATCCACGTACGGTTCCAGTGCGTTCCAAATGTTCCGAAAAATAAATACTGTACTGGTCTTTAAGACGAATTCGATCTGTTCTCCAGATGAAATAAACCAGTCGCGAAAACTTAACAATGTATCAATTACTGCGTTAGCACGATTTCGAGAAAGTTTCCCAGGCACTGATTACCAAGTCGATAAGTACAAAATAATTTAACGTACTTTGATGTTCATTCGAAACTTATTTCTCTCGTTATTATCCAAAGGCGGTAAACATTTCGAACACCTTACAGTACATTGTGCATAAATTGCGTTGCAATTAAGCACGAATAATTATAATTTATTTTTAAAGCGTACGGACTAGTGATAAATTGTACCGTAAAAATAAACGATATTGTCAAGTGAACAACATCTCGGTGCTGATACCGTACTCTTGGGCGATATTCCGTAGAGTTGGTTTTTTAATTTTGTCGCGCACGAAAAGAAACGACGAGTACGAGGAGTATTAGAACGTAACAACATGAAACGTGCACAATCGACGCGACACGGTGTATATAGTGGTGCCGCGGTCTAATACAAACATATTTCATCTTGTTTCCATATAATGTTTGACGTAAACCTTTATTGAAATTTATCACTGGGAGCCGACGGTATTCACGTGGAGAGCGATACGCGTTCGTGCAATACTTTCCGGGGAGTTTATTCCTTTGTAAATATTTTGTTTGAATCAAGAATTTCGATACGTTTATTATAGACACTGTGCGCCGTGCGGCGGTATACATTATATTTATTTTTCACGTATAAAAACACCGCATATATCTATACGTCGAAATTGAATACGTAATATATCCATAGGGATCCATTCGGTCCTTTTCTTAAGTCTTTACAGTTACATATTATTCATTCAGGTCTTTTTTTTTTGTTTTTTTTTTTTCATCTAACTCGTAGGATACGGTATATTTCCGGAGCGTAATAAAAGTTGAAAAAGCATAAATTCAAATGTATTTTTCACCTTCTGCGGTTTCATATATCTGTATGTTGGATGATTATAAATTGTACAAATACACATAGGCCACCCCCTCTCCCCTCTAGTAGCGATCTAGTCGTGACTTTTTCTTGACTTGTAAATAAGAATACGTTGTCGATAGATTATTTTAATTCACACCACGTTGTTGTAAGCAAGTACATGCGAAACGCATACATTACTCACATACAGTAAAATATACGTTGTATATGTTATTACTACAGCACGGATTGTTATGCACTGAAAAGTATCAATATATGCCAAATAATATACAA